TTACTTTGCATTGACCTCCAAACAGCCACTATTGAATTCCCACTTTAGAAAAAGTTCCACGCAGCCTTCTTCTACAACAACCCAGAAAAACACATTCTTTCCCCAAACCAGAAATGAGCTCATCTGCCTTCAAACCGAGTCAACAAATCAAAGTTTGTTTTGACATGATTTGCAGAGCCTCTGTGCTCGCAGGAAGTCATCTTGCATCAGACTGCCTTCTTATTACTTTTTCACTGCATAAAAGCACATCAATTGGGCGTTTCTTAACTCATGAAGAGACACATAGTCGCGGTTCTCGCGCCGAAGACTTGACATTTGCTGCTCCGCTTCCTCCTCCTCGGCTTTCCGTTGGGCCTTGATGCTCCGCGCGGTGGCAACTGACGCTCGCGTAGACGGGATTAAAGGCTGAGGCGGCTTGTGAGGCGCTGCAAGAGCACCCTCCATTAGGAACCCGCCCCCACCCTCCCCCCGAGGCCTGCAGGGAGGGGGGGGGGGGGGGGCTCCTGACAAACTGGCCTGTCTTTATTGATGACAGTGATTGATCACGGCCCCCGGGGAGCTATGAACAAAACAGTTTATTTGTAATTGAAAGTTCCACAAGGGGGCTGGCAAAAACCAACCGCCCACCCACACACCTCTAAAAAAGGCCGCGAGACACCCACCCCTCCATTTAAGAAAGAGAACCCGTACTTTTAAAATTTGCAAAAGGTTTGGGGAGACGCCATGGCATTCGGTTCACTCACACACACAGACACACACACACGCAGACTTGTGTGTCAAGCGGGCTGAGAGGAGCTGTGCTGGCAGAATCGATAAGGAGACTCGCGCTGCAGCCACAGTCTGGTCTACCCAGCCCTCTCCAGTGTAACATGACCAACATAGCAGATACAAGTCCACAAAGATCCACTCTGCTCCTTTTCATCCCCCCCCAGCGGGGACTCGGCACTCGCCCCTCTTTCTTCCTCGTAATGTTTCCTAGAATGACAGCAAATGAAATAATAATACATGTTTATACTGGCCGACTGTCCTCTTTAGAGTATTGAGTCCTTCTCTCGGCCACTCCCCCTTCCGCCTGCCCCCCCCCCACTATCTGCCCCACTCCCACCTGCTCCCTCCATAATGAATAGATGCTTGCAAGTGTGTTGGCCCGGCTAAACCATTAATTAATCCCAGAGCAAATAAAAAAGCCGTAAACTGACGGTTCAAAGATTTTAATCACTAGGCAGCAAATAAAATGCTCTATGTGTGTGTGTGTGTGTGTGTGTGTGTGAGTAAGTGGGGGAATGTGTGTAGGAATAAATGACGTCAGTAGGCCGAGAAGGATAAAGTTGCTATTGACAATTATTTGCAAAAGTGAGAGCAGGATTTACTTTTAAAAAGGAAACTACATCGGGTCTCGCTTTGCCTCTGCAGCCTCTGCATGTCTCTGGTCGTTTGACAGCGGATCAATCTACCGGCCATTAAGAACACCTTTAGCCACTGGTGTGAGTGGGAGAGAGAGAGAGAGAGAGAGCTTGTGGTGCAGCAGACAGCCAACTCGGTCTAAACAGCTGCTTAGGGAATCACTAAAGCGGAGCGATCGATTCCAACAACGGACGGCTTGAAACAGGAAAATAAAAAAAGGGCTGGAGTGTCCTTTCCTTACATCACTCATTTCACTCACTTCCTTAATAGGCGGCAGGAAGCGAGAGAGGCGTCCCTGGAGCCCTGATGGCCCCATGTCTCCTCTCAGCCTGCTCGCAGCGCTGCGACGGAGCCCACGAAACCCAATCAAAGTCGCCCCGAGAAGTGGATGGTGAGGGAGGTCGCTTCCACGTGATCGCCTAATCGGGGCCAAATCTGCTTTTGTCTGGCGTTCCACGCTACTCGGTTGCCTTAAAAGCTGCGTAAATGAATAATGTTTCTGTATTAGTTCCACTACAGTCTGTAATTCACTTCCCGTCATTCACATTACATTCATTTAACTGTGTTTGCTTCTGGTCTCTTGGTGAGGACATTCCCATAATCTCCTCTGTTACTGGGAGGAATCAGCCTGCAGCACCCAGGCAGGTTTATGTGGTTAGAGGGAAACACGGATGCACCTTTACATGTCTGAATAAATGAAAGCAGAGACGTGTAGAAGTTGGATTTTGCTGTGAATGAATGTGCAACCTCAGCACGGCTCCTACTGATGATTATTGTCCTTTGTAACCAGTTGTTAGTCTGTGCCACGTGACAGAGATGCATGATGGGGGAGCTTCTACCTCAACATTTACCAAAACCGTCCCTTCCTCCACAAAAGAAATAAGCAGCTTTGGACTGTAATCACGCGCTGGGTCATTCAGGTCAAACGTGTCCTTATTCGTGCTTGGTTTGGATTTTAAGCCACTTCCCCAACGTGGAGGCAGACGTCAGGGGAGGAGCAGAGAGGATCATTTAATGATCTCCACGTAATGGCTTCATGAACAAAAATGAATCTCCTCAAGTCAGCTCCTCGTCTCCTGCTGCCTTCCCCTAAACGCTGCAGTTTAAGATGAGAGAACGCTCGGCGCCAGGAGGCATCGCGGCCCTCGAGGGCCGCCGCCTCGCATCAATCGAGTGCGTACACGGAGGATCTGGAGGTAAAACAAACAAAAAGAACAGCGGGGGAAAGACTGCCGGTGTGTTTTGCTGTCTTCGAGCGGCCGTTGGTGAGCGCCGCCGTTTCGCCCATCAAAGGAACGGGGAGCCGCCGTTGTTTTGCTGCCGGCCAACCTGTCCTCCCTATACGGAACACGGACCGATGCACCTGCTGGTTCATTACTCAGAGCATTTGGATCAATTTAGAAGCGTAACAGTGTGAGAGCTTTTTAAACAGACACTCAAAAGGGAAACCAGAGGGTAAGGGATTAAAAGGACTTGGAGGGGTTATGTAGATTATTAGCAGTAAGAGGCCGCGGCCGTCATAATAAGATGAGCTCACATTTTATTTCATGGTAATTCTTTTAGAGATTTGCCAACTTCCAGCAAGCCCTTCAGCGGTTCATTAGTTCACTAAAAGGAATCGTTTCTTTTTAATCAGTTAGATTCGAGTAATAAAGAATGATGAATCACACGAGGGACATTAAGGATTTTCTCTTCATGGGAGCGACCGTTCTGCATTGTGTTTATTATACAGCGTATATAGTCACACCAACCCGAGGCCGTGCTGAGCGATCCGTCGCCACAGATAGAAGATGGTTAAAAGGTTTTCTTGCTCGGAGGCCTCTGCAGGATTGCACTGCATTAAGATGTAGGGTGCTGGAGTGATGGTCCCCAAGCTCTGGAGATGATCAATGGAGGTCATTTTCACGCAGTACCCGGGATCAGAATTACCCCTCACAGAGTGCCTCTCTGTAACCAGCATTCTCAACGTGTACGAAATGAGAAAACATGCTATTTAACGGTCACTTCATGCACCCGGTAGCCACCACCTCTCTTACAGAGAACGAGGCCACGCCCCTCGCCAGGTATCCAGCCCTTCTATGCTCTCCTATCCGCTACACCTGGAGGACGATCACGCGCTCCGTATCTGAATAATGGACGACGCATCTAATTGACACGTGTAAATGACTGCAGAACACGTCGCAGACAGAATTCTCAGCAGGTGCAGTTTCTCGCGAGAGACATCCACCGAACAAGTTTCCAGGTCAAGTCGCTTCCTGCACAGGAGCTCAAGTCGCTTCCTGCACAGGAGCCCGGGAACAGGAACGTCGGGATGTCCTGCGTCTTGTTGATGCGTGCGATTGTATGTTGGGTTCGTCGCGAGCAGAAAGTCAGAAAGTTTGTCTCGCTGACATTGAGTTTCACTCGGCGCTGCAGAGGCACATTCCCTCCTGCGGGAGTCCGTGTGTCTTCATCACCAAAGCGAGCCGAATGACTCGCACAGTGTCGAAGCCAATCAAATGCACGCCAGCTGGCGGGAGAAGATCTCCTCTCTGAGCTGAGCGACTGCGTTTATTCCACAGCGGAGACACGTTGGCTGATTGACAGTGATGAAGTTCCTGTCCTCCCGGACAATAGAAATGTTTAACTCACTATGCGTAGTGAAAACAGCAACACTGTGGTCGTGCGTATGAAAAGTGTGAGTCCAGAGAAACGCGAATGTGCCCTCGCAGGGGGGGAAAAAAACGATCTCCCGCATAATTACAGCTGAGATGATTTACAGCCGCTGCTATCCGAATACATCGCCGGCACCGGGGGGAACGATGTCAAACCGAGGGAGGGTGAGCGAATTCAACGCCTCAACAATGTCGTTCAACTAGATCCTGTTACTCGTGTCCACGTGCAACCTTGTAAATCTCGTCATTCCATCTCTCATTTGGCTTCACATTCGTTCCATTTGATCTTAATTCATGACAATGAACGAAAAAGGCTCTCACTTGCTGCTGAATCAGGCTGATGGACGGTTTAAACAGATGACAGTCGTACCTGAAATGAAGGATGGACGCTATCAGCTGGTCGCCTCGTTAACCTCCTGCGTGCATTTAAGTGAAGCTTACGGCTCCAAATAACATCAACCTCAGTAGCTTCAATAACAAGGATGTGAGAACAGATTTGGAGGGTCACAGAGTCTGATCCCATTATTCAGCAGAGAAGACGAGCAGTTACAGGAAGGCTCCCTTAGCCTTCACCAGTGAAACGTATATTGATGGTTCAATATTGGAACATTACGAACCACGCCGACCCGAAGCTGACCTCATTACGTTCCCATGCCAACGTGCGTCGCACACTTTAACCCCCCCCTTTCGGTCCCGTTGGTTGTTGCTGTTGTGAGTCGATGTATGTTCCTGCGCCAAAACAGAGCCGTTCTTTGTGTCTCTGAGGCTGTTCTGTCTCTCTTTGGCCCCAATTCAACACACACACACATTCCCGCCCCCAGCGAATGAGCCTCTGCTGTTCCTTCCCAGCTTTGCGCGGAGGGGACATTCCATTCCTTGCATGTTAATCACCTCATTCACCCACCGACGCGTGCATCCACACTGCATCCAACAATCAGTCCCCTTTAGCCCCGGTCCTCCGCCTCCTGACGCAACAAGCAGCTTATAATCAGCCGGCCAGTAATTATCAAGGGGAAGCGGCCATTTCTTCACTGCTGCCCTGAAGGCTTGGTAGGAAACTAGCATGTAGGCTTTTTTTTTTTTTTTTTTGCAGCTGAGAACTTTAATGACTTGGGTGGAGGCGCTGAGATGGTCCGACAGTGGGACGGCGAGGCACCACTTAGCGGCTGCCTCTAATGGCCCGGACGCCTCCATCCCTCTCCGCTGCCAAAAGGCTCCGGCTCCGTCATCCCTCATGTGGTCGCTCTCTCTCTCTCTATCAACACACCACACAGGCGGGCGGCGATGAAAGGATGAGAAAGAGGGGTGAAAGGGTAAGTGGGGAGGAAAAAAAGAGAGAGATCGTTAACGGGGAGGGGGGGGGGCGGCAAAGGCGCCATCCGAGGAAGGGAGGGTCTTGTGAAGGAGGCAGGGAGAGACAAAGAGGGAATGAGACAGAGGGAGCGGCTGTGGGCCGAGATGAAGCCAGAGAGTCATACCCGGGCAGCATTTAATGCCCCAGGGGAGGCCCGGGGTCAAACGCTGGCAGCCCCCAGTGCCTCCGCTCCTACGCTCCAAACAGCGACGTCTGAGATGGAAAATCACCACTGAAAGATCTTTTGTGCTGCAGAAATGCTTTCATGATGTTTCGGTCTTTCAGCTTCCTCATGCAGGCCTGCATTGGAACTATGGGGGGAATCAGATATAATCCATTTAGAGATAACGTCCTCAGGAAAAAGTCCCTCTGGATCATTTTTAACCTGCGCTGATTTAATCTCACATACATGAGAGTCAACAGTTGTATTATTGTCTGGAAGTGGTCATCAACTGACTGTAATATCAAATAATGGAATAATATGACAATGTACTGAATAATATGGATGAATTATGATGAATACATTATTTAATAATAATCTTGAGTTTATTTTCCGGGCCCCGATTTATGCCGTAAGTGCGTACGTTTAGAATGTGTGCAGCGTTTAATAATCTAATCGCCGTCTCCAATCATATGAGTCATCCTGGTCTTAAGCTGCCCGTGGGAAGAACATTTCATTTAATTTAATTCTCCAGTTAAACGCTCTCGCTGTGTAATGACTTCTTTGCAATATTCCCTCCTCAACGATTAAACAAACGAAAAACAAATCTCGCCATTTGCCACAATGGACGTGTGCTGGATGGAGCTTTTGGAGATACTTTTGTTGAAGAGACTGGAAGCGGGTGAGCACCGTCACTCTGAAGGACGAGCTCCAACGACGTCTTTATTCAGACCCAAGGCCGAGTTCAGTGACAAGGTTGACACCGCAGCTCTAATCGCTCCACTTTTGTTGAGAAAAAGTTACTTGCTTAAACAAATTGGTCCCTGAAAAGCAAAATGTCACGGGCGGAGCAAATACATTCAGACAAAGAGCTTTCAAGAGAATTCTGAAGCCGTAGGAGGAAAATATCACAACAAAAGTAAAAGAGACTTGAGGATAGGTTTTCTACTTCAAGGTTCATCTTGGGATCGCAAACTTACAATGTTGAAATTCAAAGACAGTAAAAGAAAATACTTTGTTGAATTTAATTTATCGAATTGAAACGCCTTCCAACAACATGCAATCATGTAAATTGTGGGGCCCCACTTGGCCGCTGCCTGGTGGCTTTTCTGCGTTAATCAGGTCAGCATGTGAATTGACCCGGTGCTCCGTCCGTGGGCCTCAGCCGGGCCGGGCTTTGCTCCACTCCAGCTAATGATGGAGCCGCACAATCAATAATGCTCATGTATGCGCCGACGTAATAAACCTCCCTCTCCCTCGCTCTCTGTCCTACTTCGACAGTCCACTCCGCCCGCGGGTCGGCAATCTGTCTGCCTCTCGTTAGAGATCCGCCGTGTTAATTAGAGAACCCATTTTTTCGGCAAAATAAAAAATAAATGGTGCTGCGCTACATTTCACACGTTTGATTGGGAAGGGAGGACGAGGCCGAGAGCAGGGCGGATAATTCCCTTCAACTTTTCCTGATATCTCATTGTTATTTGCCAACAGTGAACACTCAGTGGAGGAGTACATTTAACGTTATTATGAGCTTTTTCTAATCTAAAGACGGGGAAATAAATGTCCGGGAATACGTCCCTTATACTCTCCGGCAATAAACTATTACATTCCCTTGATTACCCGCCATAATAACGTATGTGTTCCAATTTGATTAAACCTGATCCAAGCGGGAGGAAAATAATAACACAGAGGTATGTGATCGTGTTGTTTATTCAACCCTCTCTTGGCACGCTCAACAAGGACATGGTAGTAATTAACTCGAGCCTGGAGGTGGGAAGGCCCGGGCCCGCCGCAGGAGGTCAATGCGGCGGCGAGGGCCACGCCTGCCCTGTAATAAGCTGACATAGTTACGGCGGTAATTGGCCGACGCAGCCGAGCGACAAGGGCAGGCCGGATGGAAGCGCTGACCGGGGGAGGGGGGCGGGGGGGGGTTAGAGAGGATGGTTCAAGATTGATCACCGAAAACCTCTCCACCGGGCTCCTCGGCTCATAATCACGGCAGGCGCACTAATCGGAGGGAAAGGGAGGAGAATGGCCGAGGCCGTATATCTCTCAGAGCTTCAGCTTCTTACGCCTGGTCGTCCGTTTGCCTCGCATTGAAAAAAAAGTAGATTAAGAAAAAGTAGCGTTCGTCTTTTATAACCGCTATTTCCTCCACCTGTCCGGTGTGCTCTTTGGTACCTTTGTGCTCAGTGAATGTCGCCCGACCGTGAGAGGACATCTCAGGCATCGTCCCAGGCTCAACAGGCTGGCAGGGAACGAAGACATGAAGCTGAGCTGGACGCGTCTCGATACTCAGTGATTTCCATGCAAACGAGCAAGGAATCGTCCCAAATGGCAAACTGAGCGGACGGCGCAAAAAAAACCTAAGCGGGGAGTCGAAAGTCGCGCTTAGACGCGGGTCGCGGTTCTCTCCGGGGGGGGGGGGACGGGCTGAGAGGAAAAGGCCCAATTAGGCCGGAGGGAGAGAAGACGGTAGAAGTGAGGGAGCTTCGTCACACGCCCGTGTCCTTCCAGCTCCTGCAGCTCCTCCAGCTCTTCCAGCTTCTGAGCCTTGGACACGCATGAACACGCGCACACAGCCTCCTCGACCACGTGACGAACTGCCATCCACTTCTCACGTGCAACTCACCCCAACAGCTGCCAACACACTTCTATTCCGCTTTCTCCTAAATGAAGCACCCCCCCCCCCCCTCCCAGAAAATCAGGAGTCGGCCTACGGCTTTCTAAACACGGGTTAGTTGGACATCCCGTCTTTACCGGCTGCAACACGGGGCGATACTTTTATAAAAAACCCTGGGCGCTGATCCGTCACCATCCGGGTGGGCGACGTTCACGTCGGGCGACTGGCACCGTTTGAACATGAATACATAGACTGCGAGACGGGGGCGCGTATTGCGAAAGCACTTTCATCAGGCCACGGCATTTACATATTTACACTCAGATCCGTGGCGCGTGTCACTGCGTGGGGGGGGGGGGGGGCTGTTTGTATGTAGTTCAAGGTTATGAAGAAAATGCATCCTAATCTCCTGCAGCGGAAGGACTGATCGAATCCTCCGACCCCGACGCTGTGCTTTTGTTTTTTTTCTTGAAACAGTATTTAAATTTAAGCTCTTCTGATTCAAATAATGAATGAGGTGCTTCTCGCTGCCAAGCGGTAGCGTCTTCCCAAAGAGACCCACGGTCGATTTTTTTTTCTGAATTTGAAACACCCTCGGGGGGACCGGCAGGAAGAGGGAGAGGAAGGATGAAGGGGGCGAGGAGGAGGAGGAGGCCGGGAGGAGGAGGAAGAGCGGGATGAGCGAGTCGGTTGCACTTTGCTTCCAGGCGATTAAGCTTCATACTACGTTGACAATATGTAAAGAGGCTCAGTCCACATGCAGTTTGAGATACTCTAATAAGAGCACCGCTCCACAGTAGCCTGCCGCAGCCTCCAAATCATAATCAATGTGAAATCTATCACAGCGCTCACTGGATCTCCCCACATCTGCTCGCTGTTCCAGTACAACATCACAGCTGTGATTAAACGCGCAACGTCAGCTTAATCACGTGCCAAATAATGCATTGCAACAAAAGCACGTCCAGTTATTTATCGACAGGGTGGGTAAATAGATGGGGGGCAGATCTGTAGTATTTGTGATTTATCACTAAATCCGTCACCATCATCCGTCACCATCCGGGTGGGTCACCATCCGGGTGGGCGACGTTCACGTCGGGCGACTGGCACCGTTTGAACATGAATACATAGACTGCGAGACGGGGCCGCGTATTGCGAAGGCAATACGCTATAATACTCATATTAATCACGTGCGATGAGCAGGTGTTGAATACGCAGGGAGATTACACAAGGAAGAGCTTGATGAGTTGCTCTGGGAGTGACAGCGCTGGGGTTTAACTGCTTGCTGATATCATCACTGTTGCTTATCACGGGGCCGCGCGTCGTTGTCAGTAATCAGCCCGACGCCCGAGCGGCTTCTTTGACGCTAAATATCTACGGCCAGCATATTCACTGTCATTCGAGATAAATCACGCAATCTGAACCGCGTTTTGTTCATTTTCTCTTCCCGCGGTAAATGGAATGGAAGGAAGTACATTTCCGCGTAGTAATTAAAGACTTCCTCTTCAAGACACATACAGTTTGATTCCAAATAAGATGAGCTCTCGCATACATTTTATGAGATTTGTCAAATTTGGTTTTGCTCTGAAGTAGAGGTACAGTGGGAAATATAAGCTTGAGTTCTACTTCTATTACTTTTGAGGCCACCATGAAATGTAATCTTTCTAATATAAAACTCCAATAGCTGCTTGGGGCCTTTTTGGTTGGACCCCCCAGGACCAGGTGGCCAGTCGAGTCTGCTCTAGTGTTCCTGAACTAGAGTTCTAGTTGCAGCTTTGGTGTGCGACCCAATTATACCTTGGCAGGTGTATTGATGAGGACCCACAGAAGTGTGACTCGAGCACCTCAGGCCAAACGTTCATTCTCCTCAACATGTTTTGCACTCTTGCAACACAAATGGACAGTCAGTTATATAAAAAAGCAAATTATTAAAAGTAAAAATTCAAATAAACTGCTTAAAGTCAGCGAGCCAGGGAAAATAAGACGTGTCTTTAAATCCTCACGTGTGGCGTCGGCCGACCGTTGGCCATCGGTGTGTTCATAGCGACAGAATTCCCAGGAGATGTTTTCATTTCTATTCTTTGTTTTGTTGGCACGGCTGGCGCTTGGCCGTCCCCGCCGAAGCAGGGGAGCGCACCGCGGTGCCGTGGGACGGGGGCTTCAGTCGGCGGCGGCGGCGGCGGGAGTCCCTGCGGCGTACTGGAGCTCTGGCTCTAATCTGCGTAACGCCAGCAGAATAAAGTCCATCGGGCAGGGACGTAGTTACTGGGATCGAGTTGCATTGCTCAGGCTCAGGTGCCAGCTAACCCGCTAATGGAAGATGGACGCAGCTGAATGTTCTCTCTTACACCTGTACTTTTATCCGCGCGGTAAAAAGTAAGACGAACATCGTCCCACATCACGGCTCTGGCACCAGTTTAAAAAAAAAAACAAAGCGCCATAAGCCAACGTCAGGAAAGCCTAATACTCCATTTCAACGTTGATCCTATTAGTTGGATTCACTTGACTCGTGGAGTCCAGTGGCGCTCTAATGCTCTCAATTGAATAGCCAATCGGCTAATTCCCTTCATCGAAGAATGTGACGAAAGAAAACGACGATGCTTGAGAAAGTAAAGTACACGTTTTTTTTTTAATTATTGGGATTTTAAATCGCCGGGGTGTCAAGTTAAAGACCACAAAGTTTTCAGAATGTGACACAATTCATGCATAATCCACACGTAAGTACATTCAGACGTGTATTAACAGGTTTAAGCTCCATCAAATGTGTGTGTCTTGGAGAGAGCTACTAAAAGTGTGTGTGTGTGTGTGTGCATGAAGCCAATCAGCAGGATTAAGTCAAGATCCTCGATGACACCATTAGATGCGTCACAAGCCAATTAATCTGCCCAAACCCGCTTCGTTGCCACCGCCGCCCTCGCAGCTTTCACGGCCTTCACGATCGCTCACGTCTCCATTGATTATTTCTCTTGCACCTTGATGATGCAATGAATCATTTTCTTTGCTCCCTGTGCGAAACACTGACAAGCTATAGACACACTGGAGACACCCAGTAGAATGTGGATGAGTAATACAATGTATGTGCGATACGCTGGATATTATAGGGAATTCATGCAGGCGGAAAACAAACAGGTGAATAGCTATTCTTTATCAGTAACCATATAGATGATCGTGTGAAGGGTGCTGTGGTTGAAGCATGGTAGAATAAGTACCAATACAATGCAACGAGACAGGGAAATGAAACAGTGCCTCCATCAGGAGCTTAAAGTTGAAACAAGGAACATTTAAAAAATCGAATTAAAAGGGATTTTATGCTGGTTTTGGCAGTGACCTGGACCTTCGGCAGCATGCTGTCCGTGTTTGTTACCTTAGTGACTGGCTTTAACTAACATTAAAACTAAAGATAAAGATCAGTTGCAAGTCTTCCACATGATGGTCTCATTTGCTTCTAAAGGGTAATTTAGAGGGATCGATATTAACAAAGGATAAATGTCTGCCAGAAGCTCTAAAGTTTTTCATTTCACTGCCCAATAACCTTGCAAGCTTATTGTAGCTGTCTTCCTTAAACATTTTGTTCACATAATTTCAAGTGCAAAGTTTGTTATGGAAATGTTTTCCATGTTGACAGTTGAGGTCGTCGTTGACGAGGGAGACGGAAAAAAAAATGCACACATTTCTGAAATAAAATCTCATAAAGATCTCGTGCTGCAGCTTTTTAGTCTTCCAGAATTACTCAGTTCTTAATTATTTTCTTTTCCACTTTGCAGTTAAGTGGAGCCGCACACATCCGGAAGCGCAGCGAAACTAAGCGAGTGCTTAAAAAACCTGCACGTAAGCCCAACAACAAGCTGCACTGTTGCCATTTTCTGCAAATCTCCATTTTCTTTCTCTTTTTCCTTTCCAGGGAATCTTTGAAGAAGTGAACTCTGCCTCAGCAAGATGTCGGATATTATTTTGTTCCACAGAATCCAGCGCAGCCGCATCACACGGCGACGCACTCAGAGACGAGCGCGGCCCGGGACGAGCGGTTGAGCATTTACAACAGCGGCTAATTAGGATTCCTCTTGCAGAGGCAGGTTGCACACCGCCAGCCGGCGGGAGACTCCCACTTGCAGATGGTGGGAGAAAGACTGCGGTGAAGAGATAATCAAAATCCCTACGTCGCCCCCGAATGGCCTTTACATGTTAAAGTTCAAGACGCGATGCATTTTTAATTAACCCGGCTCTCACTTACTCAGCGTAAGCAATTGTAAAGTAATGGAGAGATTTATCTCTCCTTCACACGTCTCCTCTGCACCGGTGTGAGGAACAGCTTGAAGGGATGCATCCACGAGGCCTCTCCACTGTGTGCTCCTGCATGTGCGTGTGTGTGTGCATGGATACTAAATCCGTACCTGGGTAGTTGATTCTACAGCGCTACGTTCCCCGGTGTGCCTGCAATGCTTGAAATCAAAGTTTCCTCTAATTATTGTTTTTCTTTTTACACTGATGTGAAGTAAAAAATTCCCTTAGATTAAGAAAAGTCACACCGGAGAGCTCTCTGCTCGAAGCGCGGCGGGGAGAAGCACGCTGTGTGAGGTTAATAATAGAATATATATAAATATAATAACATCCATATGGGCGCTGCTCTTGTTTGCGGCTCGCGTGTTGGAAATAATTAGCGGCATTCGACTAATGAGCTCGTTAGCGGATCCTTTCCGCTCCTGAATACTTGATCTTCAATATTTTGTAATCAATGGTGGTTTGTGTGTGTTGACTTTGTTTATGTTGATGCTTAAATAACAATGAGAAATCTTGAAAAAGTTCACATCCGGTCCAGAGAGTAGAGTTGATGTGTTTCTTGTTCTTTAAAGGAATTATCATAATAATTGTCTTATTAAGTCAGCGTGGCAACATGATGTCACGTCTGAAACAATCACAGGACTTTGTTCTTATTAAGAAACAGCACATCTTAAAACAGTGATTTAGAAATGTTTTTATAAATTGAACAAATTAATTAGTGAGAGTAAAAACGCAAACTCATAACTGGGTTCTTTTCCTCTAATGTGAAAGATTGTGCGATAGTGTCTTTTTGATTAAGTGTCATTGGTGGCAGCGGTGCAGAGAAAGAAGCATTGTATTGAGAATCAGTATTTCTTATTAAACTGTGCTCACTGGATGGTGATTTTCATTTAGACTCGTGGAATCATCACATTACCATTTGCATGCTTTTTGCCTGTCGAGATCAACAGCACTGCGTTCGTTTAAAAGCTTTACGATGTCGACCTCCTTCCAAAACTGAAATAATCAAAGAATCAACTTTTCCTTTCAAAGAGTAATCTAGATGATATTGCGTTCCATCCACCTTTTACAGTCAGACTCAAAACATCTGGTTTTTCTCCCCAAAAAGCTTATTTTATTGCTGAAACATGATTTGCATGTTACACAAGTTTTCACTTGGCTCTATATAAGTAATGATCTAATGTTCGGTATAGTGATGAAACACACCTGCAGATTGAAAAGTGTCCTTAGAGGCAATAAACACATGTGTCTTCTTTATATACATTTTTTTTGTATGCTTTCTTCTTTCTTGAGATCTGGTTGAATCTTGTGTTCGGTGTGGAAGCGCTTTTAATTTTGCAATACTGTGATTTACCACCTTTGGTGCCACTCACACGTTGCAGAGTGGGTGTGGCCAATAGACCAACACGCCTCCACCTTCACGTCCACGGACAGTGCAGCATCACAAGCTACGTCTTGGTGAGCAACGCTTTCACATTCCTATGAGCAAAGTTTACTGGGAGCGAAATTCAGAGCGTTGTCATGGCAATTAAATGCAGCGTCACCCCCCCCCCCCCCCCCCTGAACAAAACTAAAACAAGTAAACAGAGAAAACTCCAAGCAAGGAGAAGGAAGCACCGGGATGCAGACTCAATTACTCACAGTCAACTAACCGTCGCATCCCACCAATCACCACTGTAGCAGACTGCATCTGCATGCCCCTAAAGCGCAATATTTTCCTGTGCAATTCAATTCATCAGAGAGACATTACTGACAAGCACTCTGTCATATAACCACATTGTAAAAGCAATTACAGCTCATGCAAAACAAGATATAGAGTGTGGAGAGGCTTTGCAGTCCACTCAAGCAGCAGCAGACCATTAGCTTTTTATTCCTGCAAAACAGTGCAGAGTTGGAGGGACATTTAATTATGTTGAACAATGACGGAGGCGACGATACGGTGAATATAAAGAGTGAAATGAAAGATTATTTTGTAGGGGTTTTTATTGCCGTCGTTAGTGCAGCTTGTGAGTGAGGGAGGGGTGAGGGGAGCGGGGGAGGGGAGGGGGGAGGGGGGGGTTGATGGGTCAGAATCATTTCCAGGCCCCAGTTGCAAGTGAATGCATGGCCATCGGCAATGAGTTTCCAGCCACGCCGTGGGTGTGAGTGCGTGCGCACGTGACTCATTGCATTGGTGGCCGAATGTCTGCAGAAGCAGCCCGCCGGGGAAGTTTAATACTCTTTACAGTCACACTCGTCGGTTCCAATGACACGGCGTTAGAAAGGTGACAGGAAAACCCGCCCAGCGGAACACCCCCACCGATATGCACCCAATCAATCGTATCCGTCCCGCACATGCACGCACACGCACGTGCACAGGCTCACAATGCTTATGGGCATGCCAGTTGATTAGCAGTAACCTAGTTCAATAATATCCCTAAAATGTAGGTCACTATAATCTAGGACCTGGGTTGTGTGTGTGTGTGTGTGTGAGATGAGAGTGATAGAGTTGCAGAAAACCAACAGCAGGTCTGCAGGCCTCCAGCTGTGGCCCAGCTCGTAGGGGTCAAATGTCATGCACACAATGTGGACCATAATACATATGTGCATACATGCAGATACGTGTCCAAACTTTTGACTAGTACTGTACATCATGACAACCGTCTTATATGTACAGGAACATACTGTGTATGGTGATACGTGCCCTTGATATCCGTACCATGAGCTAATGTGAGGCAGCGGGGGGGGGGGGTTGGGTGGGACGTGGGGTCAAGTGTCCCGTTCAAGGACACTTTCACACTCGGACAGCCGCGGAATCAATCACAAGCCTTTTTGTCAGAACGCCGACCCGCTGAGCCGAACAATCATCGATTGGCCGGTCGGACCAGCGGGTCAAAGACAACATCAAACAGCAAAATCCACCATCAATCAACATCAGTGGCGCACAGAGCACGGGGTGACATTTGGCGTCACTTCTTCTGTCACCTCAGAATGAGCCTGCCCTTCGGAGCAGGTGTGCCGCGGGCTCGACAGGATCCATTAGTTTGATAGTTCGACAACATCCCGCATCACAGAGAGTTACAACTGCCACCGGGTAGGCTTCAGCGCGCGCTGCCAAGTGGGGATTTGCCAGATGGCCGGCGCCGGTGTTTACGGATCAAAAAGCGCTATTAGTTTATTTGAAGTTGGGGGCCAGCTGGATGCTGATTTTTCTTGGCAACAAGATGTTAAAAGAAGGGGAAATGTGATGTTGGGGACACGGGAGCCGAGTTTTAGTCTTGTTAACTTACGAGTAAATCCCGGCAGGCTCAGGAGTTAAAAGATGAGTGAAGGTTTTCTTTTTTGGGGGGGGGCAGGAAATTCACAAAGAGTTTAATTTCCTTAATACGCCACGTCTCCATGGTTGCAGGGTAGATGTCCCCCTCCAAGCCGTCCCGCTGAATCCTGAGCTGACCTCGTCGCCAGCACTCAATTAAGAAGTGATATCGAGGGAATTGATAGAAAAAAAAAACTGAATCTCTTCCCACTCGCCTTTCGGTGCAGCAAAATAGATAAAAGGACAGTTTGTACCCGAACCGGCGTGCTCAATAATACGAGCTAGAATAATGAGACTGTCTAAAAAGTCGCCCAGGCTGCCAAGGCCGGATAAAGATGAAGAAAGAGTGCAGATCATTTTCTTAATAAAACACAAATTTATAAAGATGGAGCAGAAAAAGAATTGGTCGTAAATCTGCACCTGTCACTCACAGAATTACACCAACGCTGCCGCAAGGCCGCGGACGAAAGGGTCTCCACCCGAACCTGTGCCTTCCACCCATCCATGACTCACGGCACAGAAAGGGCGACGAGGTCAATAGAGGTCAACATCCAACACAGAGAGAGCTCTTCGTCTCCGATGCACACCGCAGAGGAGACGTGGTCACACAGATGCCGCACATGCACAAACACAGCTTGTAAATAGTGCGAATGCGCAAACACAAAGACATTCTCACGGCGAGAAAAGCTCCGTGTTCGAGAGGGGGGGAAGCAGGCCGTCGCGTGGCGAGGGCGCCTCCACCCCGTTTTAAACCGGCCGCTCCACGCCTGCACGGTGTCTGCAGTGGTCTTCTGGTTAACAGCTAGCAGGGGTCATGCACGCCTCCGGAACGTACAGGCCGCGTTCATTCCGGTCTGCGTTGCGATGACGCGAACCTGAATGACCCTGTAGGTCGTAAAACACGGAGCGATATACATGCCCGGTAACGCATCCACCACGAATCCCTCCATCCAATCAATGAGCACCACAGTCAGACACGGTGCGCACGACGTGGTGTGCGCACGGAGGTTCATCCGATCAGGGAGGCTGTCACAGGGGCCATTGCATCTTGCGCTAAGCTTGGCCTGCGGGGCCGCGCTGACCCCGCAGTGGGAAACGCTGGTCCTGTCTGCAACTCGAGAGAGTCTGGGAGATCTCCCCGTCTTTCCTCTTATTGAGTTCTTTCTAAAGGACAAAAAATAACTGATGATGCAAGAAACGCTGGTAGAAAAGCTTTGTCTTATGAAACTAATCATGAAATAGGAGTCATTTTACCATCAAACAAGGCACAACTGGTGCTGAAGTACATAATAAGCTCGGCAACAGCGGCTAAATACATGGATGCCATGTGCGTTCGATTTCAGTGCAACATACAGACAAATATGATCAATCCACGTCAACAAACAGGAGCAGGAGACACGCATCATGCGTCCCCGCTCTGTGGAGGTGTCCTGCTCATCGCTGAACCCGAGGGCTCCTAATTGCGGGCTCATGGTGCTCAGCGATCCAGGCTGAAACTCCTGCACGGCTTTTTTTGCCATTTGAAGATAATTATAGAGCTCTCTCCAAATCCACCGCTCTGCCGGGATGACGGGCGAACACACCTGGTGGAAATCACACACACACACACACACACACACACACACACACACAGACACGGCAACAAACACCGCAACAAGTCGCTCGCACACGCTCTCACGCTTCCCCTCCTGTCGTTTGAACAGCTTGAATAAACCAGACAATTAAGGAGACGCGCTGGCTTCCTTTGGGGGAGGGGGGGGGGGGGGGGGCGAGGAGGGAGGACACTGGAGAGGAGCGAGGAGACAAGGACGGGACAGGATGTGATGCAGCTACAAATCCTTTTGTATTGAGGAAATAGTAAAGGTCAAGCACGTTTTCATGGGCGCGTTAGACACTATATTCTGAGAAGGGAATGAAGAAGGCGAGGGCAGAGTTACAGAGAGAGACACTAGGATGTGAGGAGGGGTCGGAGGGAGCATTAGGCAGGGGCGGGAAAACGAGCAGCTCTCACGTGGAAAACACGTCCACCCACTGGGCGGTCCGTCTCCCCCTCCCCCGCCTCCCTCCACCTCGCCGCCGCGCCGCTGCCAAATCACACCGGGGCCGATTTCCTTCTCGAGCGCCAGCTTGTGTGTCACAGACAAAGCGGGCGTCACGTTTGTCCTCCGTGATGAGGGGGAACAAAGGTTAAGTGTTTACGTTGTGTAAAAGGCCGACGAAAGGGGGGGGGGGGTTCTGATTTATCCACCTGGGACACCTGCTGCATGAATTAAGCTTCTACTCACTTACCCGCAGCTAATGGGGGTCTCCCTTTTTGGGGGGGTTTTAGCCCCTGGAGCCCAAACGCGAAGCACGCGTGAATACTGACACGCGTGTGGAGGAAATGCACGTCAGGGCTCGGGAAAGTAGTCGAGCTGTCAGTATGTTCTGCTATCAGTCGAAAACAGACGTGAACGTCGTGCGGCTCGGATGACACGCTGCTGCTTAAATCCGGCCCCCCCTCTCGCCCCCCCGCCGGGAAGCGGCAAACGTGGCCCCTCAAGGTTCCCGCCTCCTTTGTCTCGGCTGTGATAGTGCGTCTCGTATCGTTGCATCCTGTGATCATCTCCCTCTGTTTCCCCTCACAGCGCATGAACACAACACTTATCACTCCCTCACTGCGCGCCGGATTAACCGGCTCCGAATCACAGATAAGTCGGGGGGGTTGGAGGGGGGGGGGCGGGGGGGGCTGCACATCGTCAAACCGCTTTGAGACTTCCCTTGCTTAAAGAAGTTTGCTCAGACTACTTCTTCTTTCTTCAAACTGACTGGATGAAAAAATAAACGCGGAAGTTCCTGGATGGCGGAGCTCCGTGACAGATCTCCACGCCGTTATTTTAGTCTTACAGTCAATAAAGGACTGTGGGGGCACCGTGTGGCACATTCAGCCCCCTCCCTGGTGCGGCTCTTACATAATAAAAACAAACCG